TCTCCCATTCACTCCATTGTTTCATTACTATTTGCTTGCTGTCGAATTCTCCTTCTTTCCATCCGTATGCTTCACCTGCACCATCGCCCTTAACTACTCTAGTTTGACCCCAAGAAAAGTCATCGAAATGCCAATACGCATATACAGGAAGTACAAAGTTCCATATTGGTAGCGAACATAGATAGACAGCCATCCAGAACACGTATACGATTTTACGCGTAGTCATTAATATAAGCACAGCAGGAAGTCCTAACACAGCCCCCAGCAAGAGTAATGGGATGAGAGGGATGGGTTTTTGGACGAAAGATATTATAATCAAGAATCCAGTGAAGCAAATAGCAGCCGGCAATACAACGGTTCCGACCAGTTCCATAAATATTACAAATTGCATAGAAAAACAAAAAGTTCCACATAGATTTGGTATAAGCACCAGTTCGAGTAAATTATGTACAGTTGAATTGATCCAGCGTCGACGTTGCGACTTGAGGACGGAGAATGAATCTGGTACGATGGTCTTGCATACTGCCTGGGGTACAAACACCATTTTTCGCTTGGGGAATGTACGCAGCATTAACGTAGAAAGATAGCGATCTTCACCGAGGAGCAAGAGATTTTTCTTATGAAGTGTGTCAACAACGTTCTCAGCGTATTGATTGACAATGTCTGAATTGGCTAGGATGGGTACCCAGTAGCCGTGCCCTTTGGGTGCTTTGATACGATACATACAAAAGCATCCCGGGAGACATGTTACACCACCAAATATTGATTCGAATGCCTTTTGCATGTGATGTGAAATATAGTATTCGAAAACTGAAATTAAAAAAAAAAAGGTGAGTAAAAAATAATGCTGACGATTAGCGCTTCTCGATTAATTGTCATATACCTTGTATCATTGTCACCCATGTATCACTCTTGTTAGCAATTTTCGTTTCTCCACATAGTCCCATAATATTAGGATCTTTAGCCATGCACGCTACCATTTTACTTAACGAATCGGGAAACACTTTAGTATCGGCGTCGACCTGCAAAATAAGAGCATATGATTAAATCAGAATATCCATAAAATGTGTGACGAAAAAAAGAAAGTGCTCATAACGACGCCCAAACTTACATTGAGCACGACTTCAAAAAAATCGGGCGTAACTCCAGTAACAGCCCAAATCATATTAAACAGTTCATATTCAAGGGCCGTCATTCGGTCATCGGATATAACGTTATTCAAGAAACTCATCAATATCACTTGAGAGTCTCTCTTTCCTCGATTTCCGGGTTTTTTATCATCTTCCTCGCCTGGCCCACCAGTCTTTACGATAGTAATCATTGGAACTTGACTTCTCCCGTACGGATCAAACTCATTATCATACTTGTAATATCCAGCATACACTTTTGCCATGTTATGGCGTTTCGCACCATCGGCAATGGCAACATACGAATGCGCAACTACTTCATGGGGAGGAACAACAAAGTCTTTCATGAGTGACAAGAGAATATCTGGAGTTGACTTGTCATTGCCTGCTCCGGTGATTTGACCGTCAGCAATACACAATAACAGTTTATGACTCTGAGGATAATCAGTTGCGGCAAGAGAGTCAAGAGTAGTACGCAGTCCGTTGATCCCTTCCGAATAACATGCCACTAACATGATGGTATGCATTAGTCGGAAATCGTATCTAACGTCAACTTCAGAAGAATTATTGAACGAAGGAGCTTTAGACGAATAAAATGCTGGGTTGATGGCCTCGGGATCATCTTGATTAAGGTACACCCCTTTGAGTGACTCGGGTCTAGAATGTGTTGAACTAGATGAGCTCTTAACGAGGGAACTACCCGGGACTCGATGATGGTCACCAAATTCCGCGCTAGATCGTCCGGTGCTAGAGTTTGTATTGCGACGGGCACGATAATGACGGCCAACTCCATCAGTGCCGGCTGGTGGAGTTGATTGGTTTGGACTGAATCGAGAAGTGCTGAGGAATCCGGTACGTCTGTTGTTAAACCGACAATATTGAAACAATTAATACTAGAATGTAGTGACGATAAAATCACTAGAGATATTAAATGAACATCTTATAGTTACTTATAGGTAGTCGTCGAATTAGGGTCATTTGCCCATCTCTCAATCTCTTTTTGACGCTTTCTTCTTTCTTCGAATGTAACTTCTCTAAAGTTACCTAATTTCCAACTCAAGACCCACCCGAACAACATGGCCAACATGAATCGGACCAATACGACGCCAACGATAAAGACCAAACTGACGTATAATACAATATCGGTAATGACACAGCCGAGCGAATTCACATCAACAATACCGACACGTAGTGTTTTAACCAAACAATTGGCAAGCTTGGTGGTTTCTTTTGTTTGTGACAAGAGATATGTTACGTCGCGGCCATGGAGATCAACAGATTGACGTATCTGTTTGAGAATGTCTGCCTCCGTAAAGGTGTCTGACAACAGCCAGTTGACACGATCCAAATCCAACACTTGTCTATGTTGTTAAAAAAAATTTTTTTATGGCAAGTTATTTCACAAAAGAAAATGAAATTTGTGAGAAATGAAAAAGATATTTACCCATTATATACAATAAGATTTTTATTTACATCTTCAACCTGTTCCCAGGTAAAGAATACAGTCCCGAGAAATGGAAGATTAGCTAATGCATTCCTTGAGGCATCAGACGAATGGCAACCATTTTGAGTATACTGCTCCTCTGTCTCCGTGGTGGTGGGAATGTCTTCGATTGGCAAACACGG